TTCGGGTCCTATGCATTAATTTATTTGTAAATGTATTATAATATTAACTTGCTGACTTATATATCGATTTTCGAAAAGAATATCCTTTAACTTGCTTGGTAGCGAATAAAAAGTGGAATTTGTCTGACATTCCGATTGTCATAAGTAGCTAACCTATAGGGATATGACTATATGCCTAAGAACGGTATATTGCTTGTTGTACCACTGAAAGCTCTTACTTTTTTGTAGACTTAATCATGTAATCTTGAACTTTTTTACTCCCAAAAGCAGATTCATGGTTTTACGAGCTACCCGCTCTCTATCAGCAATTAAGTCTCTTCGGTCAATTGACTTAAGAAGTGTCTTTGACAGAAATTTATTTAAAGCCATATTCAAGAGTTGCGTCCATTTTTCCGTTCCAAACACCCTTGTACGGTTTCAGTCCTGTCTTAAAACGATAATTCCTTCGCTACCACTCCATTGACGTTTATGCATCTCTTGTCTTTGACAACTCTACTTTATCCGTCTTTCGTGACTTATTTCCTTTTTTGAAAACTCTTCTTCTATAGGTGAGCAAATGACAAAAACATGCTACTTCAAAGCATTTCAAGGTTTTTTCCTCTACTCATGCTCGGCCTCTCCGCATTTTATGCCGTGGCTCCTACTTCTCACGCACCCACTGTATACTTAAATCCAGAGGAAGTAAAGACCATTGCTCTTACTCCCATCCATCCCTATATGGTGTGTCTTCTTGAACAAAGTTGGCTAGTGTGGATCCGCCGTTCTTTCCAAAACCATTTCTTCGCAATTAACTCGTCTGCCAAATCCTTCTCTGTCCGCGTCTACTACGGACTCAACGAGGATGAATTGCGTCATCGAGCACCATGGTTACATTCTCCCGTGGACTCGGAGATTTCCGATCTTTCCACTTTTACAGCATTTGCCGGTGACTCCGGCCCTCCTGACTACTCCGAAATTCGTTCCAACAGTCACGTTCCACTACCTGGGCCATATTCGCATTGTGTTGCCCTGTTGCCTGTGCGAAGTCAAGGTCAGCACCACTCCGTCTTTGAAATTGCCTTCACCTCCACCTTGAATTTCGGGCGTATCCTCCGACTCCTTCTTGGTCTCGCAATCTACTTTTGTGCGCCATGTTTGTGCGGGAATATTCTTTTCTACTACTGCTCCGGTGTCAGTATATCTATTCTTGCAAGTTTCCTCATCCTGCTGTTTCTGGTCGTCCGACTGTTGCCGAAGCGTTCAAGCCTCGTACTTCAGGGTCTGGTTGTTTTCGGTGGCGGCGCCATGAGCATGCTCCTGTTCTGCCTGGATCATCTACGCGTCGCAGTTGCCAATTTCATTTCCTCCAATTTGCCCCTCTTTGTTGCCTATGCCCTGTGTGTGGCGCTGTTCAGCACTGCAATCTTGTATTGGTTTAGTTTGCCGGAGAGCCTTTTAGAGCGTTTTCCTCGCACTCAAAACCTTCTTAACCTTTCTTTGCGTGCTGTGGGTGTTGCGCTCATAACCTCTGCTCCTCAACTGCCAGAGGAGTTCCACCGCGTGCGGCAACTGCTGCAACAGGGCAACCGCCTGGTGGCAGATAAGTTTAAGATAGATTGTGATGAACTAATCTCC